TTCTTCAGGCTTGGGTCCTTGGGGGGCTCCTAGTCTAGCTCCTTCCTCGGCTCACCTCCCAGCTCCTCCCAGTTTCTGTGTGGACCTCCTCCTTTCCCCCCTCCTCCCTGCTCCCCTTCTCTGGGTGGGGGTTGGGCTCCAGCAAGGGGAGGGCTGACCACTCCTTCCCGCCCCGCCCCTCCCCTCCCTTCCCCATGTGCTTCTTGTGGGGGGGGGCCGGTGCAGGCACCAGCAGGGGCACTCTGGGCAGCTGGGAGAAGGCCCATCTGGGCAAGCCTCTCCCGGCGGCCCCTCGGCCGGCCTGCCTGCTTCTCTTGCAGGTTTCTCCAAGTGCCTCCCTGCTCCTGTTTGCTTTCCCATCTCTCCAGGTTTCGTCTTCCCAGTTCCCTTCTCGGGCCGGTGGCAGTGGGGGCTGTGCCTGCTGGGCTCCACGGAGATGCTCAGTGCTCGGGATCGCTGGGACGGGCCCCCCGCAGAGGGGGCAGCTGCGGGGCTCCAGGGCTTCGCCGTGGACAAGACCTTCCTCTCCTCCCTCAAAGGCATCCTGCTGGAAACTGAGCTGGTAACAGCCACCTCCCCAACCTGGCGCCTCCGTCTCTCCCAGTTTGATCCCACTCTCCCCCTCTCTGCCCAGTGCCCCCACTGGGCTCGTCCCTCAGCGGTCCCCTTTCCCGGGCTCTCTGGACACCCTTCCTGCCCCAGCTGCCCTGCCCTCACCTCCCTGCCCGCCCGCCCTCTGGCTATCTCCATCTGAAGGCCCTTACAGCAGCTTCAGTGGCAGGAGGAAGAACTGAAGTTAGGACATAAAGGGCACGCTTCCTGCAGCCCCCTTTATCTGTGTCTGCCTCCCCCCCCCACCCCGTGAACATCTGCTCTCGGGACAGGATCTTCCCCTGTCACTTAGCAAGACCTTAGTCTCAACCTAAGTTCGCTGAGTTATGTGTCACCAACATCGCCAGAGCTGAAGCGTCCCTTAGAGTCCACCATGGAGCATCTGCCTTCTAAACCTTGTCTCTTGGTGTGAACCAAAGGCCTTGTTTTGATTCTTGTTTAGAGGAATTTCAGACATCCAGGAGTGGGGAAAGTACTGTGGGATGGGGGTCCCTCCTGGGGTGCAGGGCTGCTGTGGGCGTGACTCCAGGGGCTGGTGTTCACTCCGTACCCTGGGCTTCAGCAGGACACCTCTTTTGTGGGTTCCATAGAATGGTGCCCCCTGGAGGGGTGCAGCTTGGTCAAACTGCTGGGGTTGCTGGGAGCCAGGGGCAGGGGGAGCTGGGAAGCTGGAGACTGCCCTCAATGGGCAAACGCCTTGGAGTGTGGCTCCCGCTACCAGGGACGGGCAGACCTCCAAGGATGGGTGGTGGGGGCCAGCCTGGGGGAGTTCCCGAGGAGGGGAAGGCAAAAAATCTGGCCAGGCCTGTGTCCCCTTCCTGGCAAGCTTCACACACTTGGTCCTGCAGGCCCTGACCTTCATCATCTTCATCTGCTTCACGGCCTCCATCTCCGCCTACATGGCTGCAGCACTGCTGGAGTTCTTCATCACGCTCGCCTTCCTTTTCCTCTACGCCACCCAGTACTACCTGCGCTTCGATCGGCTGAACTGGCCCTGTCTGGTGAGGGACCCTGCCCCCTCACCATTCTGGTCCCTTTCTTCTCTGAAGGCAAAATTTTCCTTTTCCCTCCCAGCCTCTGTCCTTTCCCTGGGGCAGTATGGGGCCCAGCCCCTACACCGACTTCACAGCTATGAGGCACTGACAAGGGGGATGACCTCCCACTCACCGAAGGTCCCGCCCCACCCCTGCCCCTGGACCTCCTGGCCCGCATGCCCCAGCCCTGCCCCACCTGGAGTCCTGGCTCCTAGTCCTGGCCGCTCTGCATTCACCTGCATCCCTTCCCTGGCTCTCTCTCAAGTGCTTTATATCGTGCCCAGGGGTATCTCCATGTAGGGGTTCACGGTGCCTGAGGGTCAAGCCCCTGAATAGCCTGGAAAACTTCAGGGTAATGTTCTCTTGTCCTCTGACTTCCCTTTGATCCTGCACCCCCCCCCCCGCCCGATCCCCCAGGACTTCCTCCGCTGTGTCAGTGCCATCATCATCTTCCTGGTGGTCTCCTTTGCAGCTGTGACCTCCCGGGATGGAGCTGCCATCGCTGCTTTTGTGAGTCCAGCCCCACAGAGCTCCCCAGGCTCTAAGGGCCTCTGGCTGGCATTTGCACACTCTCGGTGCCTCCCCACAAGCCCAAGCCAGCGTCCCGGGCTTGGGCTCACACCGTGCCCCGTACCGCCCACCTCCCTCTCCCTAGTATGTGATGGCCGGCGGCCTTCGTTGCGTCATCCCCACGCCTATGTGCCTACTCCCACAGGTGTTTGGCATCATCCTGGTCTCTGTCTTTGCCTACGATGCTTTCAAGATCTACCGGACTGAGATGGCTCCCAGGACCACCCAGGGTGAGTGTCTGTGCTCTGGGGAGAGGACATGCCCCCTCCACCCTGTGCTGTGGCTCCCTGATCCTGACATGCCCTTTCCGGCCTGGCTCCATATTCACAGAGGACCAGCAGTGACCCTGAGCTACCTGGCTCCTAGGACTAGCCAGACAAAAGGAACAGTGCAGCCCAGACACTTTTTCTTTGGATTCACTAGCCCACAGCCCACTGCTCCCCAGCCAGGCCTTCAGAGATGGAGTCTGGCCTGAGAAGTCACCAGGGACTTGTCTGTGGGGCTCAGTGCTCTGAGATCTGGCTCCCGATGAAGCTCTACCAGGAAGGAGGTGTTTTGGGGAGGGAGGGCAGGAAGAAGCTGGTCATTCCCAAATTAAAAGATTCAAATCCTACTGGTGAGTCTTTTTCTTCCCTAGGAATCAGGCAGATCAGGAAAGCCAGGGAGTATTCACAAAAATGGTCATGGTCCCTCCCCTGCAACCAGGTCTGAGCCATGAGGAAGGGGGACTGGACTGAGGTGCTGAAGACTTCCTTCAACACCAGACTTCCGCTCTACGATCTCTGTGTGCCAGGTCACTTTGTGGTGGGCCTGGTGGCTGGGCTCCCAGAGTCCTGTGTCTGAGAAGGCACAAGCCTTTCCCATGTGGGTGCCCACCTGGCACACCTGCGCACACAGGTTTGTTAGTGGGTTTGGAGCCGGGTGCTTGCCTGGGGCGTGTGTAGAGCTCCCCCTTGTGGTGTGGGGAGGACTTGGCCCACAGGCCACAAGGAGAGAGGTCAGCCGTTGGCACCAGATGAGGGCAGAACTTCCCGAAATGCTGGCTCTGGAAGAGCTCTTAGACATCAGCTGGTCCCATGCCCTCGTTTCACATAAGAGAAAACAAGCCCAGTTACAGGAAGTGACCTCTTCACTTATGACAGAGCTGGGACGAGAACCTAGCTTGCCTCACATCTCTACAGGTGATCAGGATACAGTACGGAGCTCCTGCTAACTCAGGAAAAAAATGGCCCAGCCTCATCTCCAGCTCCCTCCACCAATGGGTCCGCTCTCCCAGCTTGCCAGGGCCTCAGCAAACATTTCCTGAGCATCTCCTGTGTGCAGACCCTGTGCTGGGCCCCAGGGATTCAGAGGGGACAGGCAGGCCTGTCCTTGGGCACTCACAGCCTGGGAAGGAGACAGGCTAGTGAAGGACAGCCATGCCTGCCCGCAGTGAATGCTATGGGAGAGTTTGGCTGGGGGTGTTTGGAGAGCAGGTACTGCGACCGCCCAGGAATCAGACCTGCTTGGCCCATGATAATCCAGGGCAGCTGGGATGTCCCTGCCCACCCACGTGACCTAACTCAGTGGCTCATACAAGCTGGCTTGCTATCCCTCTGATGCTGGTTTGCTCCTGCTCTGAAATACCTTCCCTTTTTTCTGGGGTGCTCCTTCCAGAGGCAGGCCCCAGCCCCCAAGCCCTGCCTGAACCCTACAACTCCAGTAGAGCGGCTCTGCTCCCCTTGGTGATAAGCGTGGGTCTGTCTGGGTCTGACTTCTCCAACTTTCCTGTCCTCATATCCGAGCTCCTCACCAGGACGGGCAGCCTCCCCAGGGCTAGAACCAACTGGATTTTGTGTTTTTCTGGGTTTCTGCTAACATTCTCAGGGCTCTATTCATAGTCCACTCTCAACACTGATTGGCCACCCTTGGGGGAGGTGGGGTCAAGGCTTTAGAGGAGGCATAGCAGGGGCTTAGCCAGGGCAGTTTAGGAGATGGGGTGCCAGGTGAAGGGATGAGAAGGTGGTTAGGAGAACCTGGGCTATAAAGCCCAGCAGGGGGCAGGGATTCGCCTGGAGCCGAATGGGGCCGGAACCAGCCCTGCCCCCTGGGCAGGCCTATAACCTGCGCTAGACTGTCCCTGGTGGGAGCTCAGAGAGAGTGGAAGTGTGATCTACGGTGTGTACCTGCTTATGCACCGGTGCCCATCTGTGCCCGTGTGAGAGGCCAAAATGAAACAAGCAACACTTGGCTTTGGTCCACAGAGCCTGCTGATTCAGGCTTGGTGTCAGCTGGTCCCAGAGTCTTAGGATCCCCTCACAGTGAGGTGCTGACCACAGAGGCCAAGGTCAGACCTGGGCCCCAGCCGACTGTGCCTGGGACTCCCTGTCGGTTACTCCTAAGGGTCTAGCCAGAATGGGACCTGTACCAACCCCTTTATGGACCTCCACCGCCAGTGAGCCCTGAGCCTCTCCTGGTGTCAGTGGGAAATTCATCTGGGAGGGAACGGGTGTCCCAGGACAACTTGAACCCCTGCAGCCCAGAGCTGGGGTAGGTGGAGGGGAGCTTCAGCTTCGACACGAAAATTCTCTCGGCACACAGAATTGGCTCACCCTTCTGGTACCTTTGTTTTCTCTCCTCCTGACCAGGGCTCTCTGGGCCTCGGCTGCCTCCTCTGTAGATGTGGAAAGCTTGGGCTCCCACAGCTCTGACACAGGGGCAGGGCCTCCCTCCGCTGGGGAGCTTTAAGACAGCTCCCGGCTGGCTGGCGGCGGTGGCGGGAAGGACAGGGCGCAGGCAGAGTCCGGCATTCAGGTTTATTACAGGTTGGCAAGAGGGGGGTTCCTGAGGCAGTGTCACTCCTCGTCATGCAGTTTTTGCTGAGAAAGGAGTAAAAGGTGTGAGGGGCCAGCTGGCAAGAGGGAGGCAGGGTGTGGGGAGGAATCTCTAGGGCTTTCAGGGGCCTAAAGGGGATGGCTTTAGAGGGAGAGGTTCTGGCCTCGGGGATCTTGGGTCTCACTTGGGGGCCTTTGTAGTTTAGTGGGTGGGACTGGGCTTTCTTCAGAGGTTCAGGGGGTTCTCAGGTATGGGTGCTGTGGGACCCCCAGGTCTGCCATAATATAGGGTAAGGAGTGCCCATTCTGAGGGCCACTGACATTGGCAGATGTGCTGACACGGGGCGACTAGTGAGGCCCAGGGGAGGGACCCACCTTGGCGCCGATGTCGCGGCTCTTGGCCCGCAGCTTGTTGACCTGGGACTCGGCGATGTCCGCGCGCTCCTCCGCCTCATCCAGCTCGTGCTGCACCTTGCGGAACTTGGACAGGTTGGTGTTGGCCTGCTCCTCCTGTGGGGGTTCGGGGATGGGGAGGCTGAGGTGAGAGGCAGCAGGGGGAGGGGGAGGAGGTGGAAATTCCCAGCCTCCCAGTCTGAGAGATTCCCTGTCCCTGAGCCAGGGCTCAGGGCTCTCACCCCTCTATGTTCCTGCAACAGCCTTGTCAAGGGTATCCTGCTCCCGGCTTGGCACCCTCCTCAACTTGCCCAGCATTCAGAATCCTGCATGGCCACCCACTGCCTGAGATGAATTACATGCTGCCTGGTCCAGTCCCATTCAGAATCCAGCTTCACTGCATCTGCCCAACTAGGACTCTGATAGATGCTCCCAGCTCCAGGGTTGTTCCCAGCTCTGGGGTTTCCTGCACATGTGTGCTCATCAACACCTTACTTTCACACTTTTCTGCCCACCCAGAGTCTTCCCCACTGCCCTATGGTCAGGTCCTCTCCTGGGCTCACTTCCATGGCCACCTTCCAGCCTTGAGCACTGTCTGGCCCCGTGGCCTGCTTAGCAGCCACACTGCCTTCCCTCAGGTCTATGGGAGTACGGGTTTTCAGCAGTCTGTAGGCATCGCTCGCTCAGAGTGCCCGACCCAGCTCTGAGCACACGGACACGTGAAACATCTAGTCCCCAGGCTGGGGCTGACACCGTGGATTCTCACACATGGGAGGTGTGTTGACAGAGAGTAGAGAAAATCGTGAACTCACCGCCTCCTCGGCCTGGCGCTTGTAGGCCTTGACCTTCAGCTGCAGCTTGTCCACCAGGTCCTGCAGCCGCAGCAGGTTCTTCTTGTCCTCCTCTGTCTGGGGGCGGATGGATGGGAGAAGCCAATTTGGGGGAGGAGCAAGCGCAATCACTGTGCCCTCCCTCAATCTGTCACTCTTCTCCCCAGGCCTCAGCTGCCTTCCCTCCCTCCGCTGGGCCAGGTCAAAGAAGGGGGGTGTTGGATTCCAGCTCTGCCTCAACTTGTAGGTCAAAAGGCCATGGCAAGGTCCTCAGTCCAGATCTAAAAAGCCAAGAGGGCTGTGGCCCTAAAGCTGGAAGTGGGGCAAGGGGCCCAGAGCCAAACTGAATTCCTTCATCTGATAACATGGAGGTTATTGGGGCTGTTGCAGCCCCAGCCTGGAGCCCCGTCGATGTTCTTGGCCGGTGGTTTTAGAGTGAGCTGAGAGGACTAGTGAGGAACACAGGGTGAAGGCGGTACTGTCATAGGCAGACCGTTCCAACCTATCAGATACGTAGATTGCACTGGGCAGATTTGGGCACCACGATCACTGGCTCTAATGTCACCTGATCATTTCTATCTCAACATCATTGCATGTGCTAGGGTGCCGCTCCCACTTATGTACACAATAGATCTGCCGTTCTCCAGCTGTAGCTCTTTCTCGTGTCTCTCACATCCAGCTGTTAAATGGACCAATACCCCCTTTCTCTGTCCTTCCTTCCTAGGCGCACTGTGAAAATAACAGGTCAAGGGCAAAAGCTCTGAGCTACACAGGTGCAGGTCTTAGAACATTTTGGGATCATCTTTATCTAAGGCCATCTATCTGTTGTCCCACAAGTTCCAGGGGAAGGTCTGAGTCTTTCCCATCTCTGACTTTTATCCTGAAAGTGCCATACTATGTCCTTCCCTTTCAGGCAGGTAGAAAGGTTCTGTGGACTGTGCTAAAGCCTTCATGGTAACACTTTGGGTTCTTAAAAAAAAAACCCGAGGAAATGCTGGTTAAAAGAGCTTTCAAGAAGTAGAAATAGGTTCTCATTCGCTGGAAAAAATCATGGACTCAAGCCAAATGGACTCCAGGGAACGTGAAAGAAAATTAATCTAAAGACAGCTTCTCAAGAAGTAGGTGCCAGGGGGTTGAGTGGCATTCCCGGACAGTGGCTGTGCGTGGGGCCTGTGTGGCCAGGAAGTGGGGCAGGGGAAGTGCTTTCACATCTGCCCTTGACTGCCCCCCAGAGCAGCCACCATGCCCGCACCTGGTAGGTCAGCTCCTTGATGCGACGCTCACTCTTCCTCATGCCCTTGATTGACTCCGCATTGCGCTTCTGCTCGGCTTCCAGCTCATTCTCCAGCTCCCGGACCCGGGCCTCCAGCTTCTGCAGCTGCTTCTTGCCCCCCTTGAGGGCGATCTGCTCGGCCTCATCCAGCCGGTGCTGCAGGTCCTTGATGGTCTGCTCCATGTTCTTCTTCATGCGCTCCAGGTGGGCGCTGGTGTCCTGCTCCTTCTTCAGCTCCTCTGCCATCATGGCAGCCTGGGGTCAGGAGAGAGGTCTAAAAGAACTGGGCCCAGGGCCCCCTGCCCCTCAAGGATCAGCGTTTTCCCAGCCTGGTGTCTGTTTCCCGAGGCCCGCCAACCCACGTAACCATAAGAGTCGGCTTGTCACGGCGCAGCGGCTTGGCGGGGACCCAGGGCCCTTGTTCATGTCTTTAGTGGGGGCGGGAGGGGAGCGGTCACTCACATCGGTGATGGCCTTCTTGGCTTTCTCCTCGGCGTTCCTGCACTCCTGCACCGCCTCTTCCACTTCTGATTGGAGCTGGGACAGGTCTGCGTCCATCTTCTTCTTTTGGTTGATGAGGCTGGTGTTCTAGATATAGGTAGAGAAAACTATCAAATATATACTTTGTTACTAGATTCTACACTTTTATCCACAGAAAATTAAAACTAGATTCTACACTTTTATCCACAGAAAATTAAAACTAGTCATTTTTAATTTATTTTTATTATTTATTTTTAAAGATTTATTTATTTGGGAGAGAGAGAGCGCGCACGGGCATGAGCGGGAGGGGCAGAGGGAGAAAGAGAGAGAATCCCAAGCAGACTCCATGCTGAACACAGAGCCTGATGTGAGGCTCGATCCCAAGACCCCAAGATCACAACCTGAGCCAAAACCAAGACTTGGAGACTTAACAGACTGCGCCACCTAGGCTCCCCAAAAAACTAGTCACTTAAAAAAAAAAAGTCTTGCTTTTGTTTATTCCTTGTTTATTTGTTGTACCTTTGTTATTGTATATTCCATGTTTTGTATCTGCTTTTCCTTTTCCTATGAAAACAGATATGTTCTAGATGTTATATCTAAAATTACTCAGCTCTGAAGAAAGACTTCAGGCAGCAAAAGGTCTACAGTTCTACTTCTGACATCTTTTTTTTT